GAGGCAGATTGAAAGAATTAGGGACATTAGAACTCATTGAGAGAAAAAGCCTTGATAAATAACAGATCCTTGGTTAAAACCTGAGGCATCACAAAGTTGAGATTAAAAGGTACTATTTAATTAGAGAGAGATTGAGAGAGAGAGATATATTTTAAGGAATTGGCTTTTGTGATTGTAGAACTGGCTAATTCACAATCTGTAGGGGATGTAAATAGGAAGGTTGTAGTTTTGATGCAGAGTTTCTCTGGGAAATCTGTTTCGCTTTTTAGTCCTTCATCTGATTGGATCATACCTACCCACATTATATAGGGTAATCTCCTTTACTCAAAGTCAAGTGATTATAGATGCTAATCACATTTACAAAATATCTTGACAGCAACATGTAGACTAGTGTTTGACCAAACAATTGCACACCATTAAATGGTTGGAGAGAGAAATTTAATAGGTCAATGATATATAATTGAGGTTCATGGTAATAGTTGAAACCTGGCTGAGGATGACATTTATCGAGAAAGAAGAGTTTAAGAAGCCCAGAGGGTTATGTGCAGAAGTAGAGCTGTCAAGAAAAAAGGGTCACAGAAAAAGAGACTACGAAGGAGTGCCTACAACTCAAGATACACATATGTTATTTTTCTCTATAGCCTGATCCAATTTCAAATCTAAGACAGAATGATGTCATTGAAAGCACATCCGTAGTAATTGCCAAATGGAGTAAGTTTTAGTTTGTATATTGGAATTCATTTTTTTCTTCTCTAATTTTACTCTTTCTCAGTCTTTTGATTCTGTGTTCATATACTATGTCTTATCTAGAATAAAGAATTTTTTAAATAATAGTAAGTGATGCCTTAATGTGTTCAGATGATAGATTGTGATTTTGCTTTTTTCCTACCAAAATAATTACTGTTGGGAAAGGACCTCACAAGAAAAATGAATCAACCACTTTATGATTCTGATTTAATTAGTTTTGCCTAGACTGTTTGAAGATGATAGTGATTTGTCAAAAATGGTGTGCCCATTCAGAAGTTTACATGGGAATACTGTCTCTAATATAAAAGTAAATTATCTTTGAATTTCTTTTTATTTGAAAACTATTTTAGCAGTTTATTAGTAGCATTTATTTTATATTTGATATTGATATATACATCGTTTTTCTTCTTAATACTCTGTAGGAAATAGAGTATGGAAACTACTTGATCTGAGTTTATATTCCAAGAGGAGAGTTTATATTCTTATGTATATAGGAACATTGCAAATGTTGGAGAGTAAACTCTTTTCTTACTCCTGTAAATGTCAGAGGGGGAAAAACCCCCACTTTATTTTATAGACTCTTTTCTGTATTTAAGAATTGTGACTATAATTTGAATTTTTTTTTTTTAAGACAGGACTATAATTTTTTGTGTGTATAGATTTGGGCTTCTGGACTGTTCACTGTTATGCTTTTGTCTTATTCTATTTTTTTGCATATAAGCAATAGCAAGTAATTTCACGCAATTCTCAAATCTGGAAGCCTAGCCTGGTCAGATTTTGGCCAGGATTCTCTTCCAAGTTGCATACTGTCAGTTTCTCGTTGTATTTGCATGTGGCAGAATCTGCATTTGACTTCTTATAAGCTTTTTTGTGTTTTGTTTTTCCTTGATGTTAATGGATGGGAAAAATAGAAAAGCAGATGTTTTTATATAATGGTTAGGAGAGGAGAAAGCCATCAGAGGAGGTGCCAAACTATTGGTCTCTTTTGGCCACAGGAGGGCATTGTTGCCAGGCCTGGGGGAGTGGGTTGGGGATGATGAGCCTCTGCCATTGGGACTGGAGAGTCTTCACCCGAGAATTTCTTGGGTCTGGTTGGATGTGAATCACAGTGGAATAGCCTTAAAAAGGCAAGCAGCCTCCTCAGCAGCAGCCCTGAACACCAAGGATAGCCAGCCTTTCATCCACTGGAAACAGGACTGGGCCATTGGGTAGAGGAGAAGGTTGTGTCCTTTCATTTCCTGGTAATAAACTGGTCTTAGGAGATCACTAAAATGATAGTGGATAAAAATTCTGGACAGGTGTCACTTAAAGATACCACCAGTAATGAAACAATAATTAGCAAGGTGGTTAAGAAGTAGATGTGCCATTTACAAACTGAGGATGTCATCTACTTGGTGTACAGAAACAGAGTTGGAATACACTATTGCATACCTCTATGAATCTTTACATGAAAATTAAGGTATAACACAAGAATCTTTTGAAGCTGATACACAGAAAACGTATTCCACATGACCAAAAATACCTTAGTTTGAAGTTCCTGCCATTTTCGCCTGCCATTTAGGCAGGCTTTGAGAAACCACAGCTATTGACACTGATGTCAGAACTCTTCATCGCAGCCTCTACTTCTTTCACAGAGTCTCCTTTTGTAGGGAGAGAGAGAGAGAGCATCCTTTCAGTTCCAGATTCTAGGGTGCAGGCATCTCTTCTGAAAGGATGTATTCCTGTTGTAGCAAGTAAAATGATACCTTCAACTTTGCTTCACCTCTTGCAGACAGGGAGGGAACATCATTTTCTTTGTTTGAACCCTAGGATCAAGAGTATTTGAGCCCATTAAAAAGAAAATGAAAGCCCTAGCTGGTGTTTGGCTTAGTGGAAAGAGCATTGGACTGTAGTCTGGAAGGTTCTGGGTTCGATTCTTCTCAAGGGCACATGCTCAGATTGCGGGCTCGATCTCCAATAAGGGGCATGCAGGAGGCAGCCAATCAATGATATTTCTCATAATTGATTTTTCTCTCTCTCCCTCTCCCTTCCTCTCTGAAATCAAAATAAATTTTTAAAAATTAAAGAAAATGAAAAGAGAGAGCCTGATCTGAACATGTAGTTGTTTGTTGCATACCAGTATAGAAACACCCAAATTTTATGTGGCCATAAAGTCAGACAAGACGGAATGCTCATGTGCATCATCTATCGGGATTGCTGCATGACCATGTGAGATTGCAGTATTGGAGTGCTTTTATTGTATGACTGTAGAATCACTGAAAATACCATGTGTGTTACTAATACCATGTGTGTTACATGTGTGTTACTACTGGGCATTTTCTGAGAGCTGACATATCAGTATAGGCAGGATGTTCCTGCTTTCCAGTTGCCCATGGCTGTAACATCCCATCCTGATTTCTCTTAGGGCCATAACTGCTGTGCAATTTATACAATGAAATTCAATCATTGGTGAACAGATGATCTTCAAGAACTAAATGTCAGGGAGGCACAGAGATAGCTTTGGAGTTTTGGAAGACAAGGACAGGGTGTTTCAAAAACTAAACAGTATAAACATATTAAGGGCATTTTTATAGTTTGTCTCTCAAGGGCAACTGGGATCTCTGTATTGGGTACTCTGATGTGACTTTTCTTTTGTGGATCTTTTTCTCTTGATTGAGACCCTTCCTTGTGGCCTGGAAGACTCTGTATGGCCACATCCAGTCTTCCAAGTGTGTAAGTTGAGTTATTACCATATCTTACCTAGGACGCTAGGGGCTATGAAAAAAGGATACAGACGGTCAGGAGGCTCAGCATGAGACATCCTCTTTGCTGGTTACTTGGATCTTGGCCTGATGTATTACCACAGCTGAGAGCTCCTCCCTCCCATATTTTTCCATAGCTACACGCCCTCTCTTTTCTGTGTATCTCCCACATTATTTCTTCCCTGCTTTCCAGTGACTGAAGCCTTTGAGGCCGTAGGTCATGGGGCAGGCATGGCAGGCCAAAGGGGTGTGTGTGTGTGTGTGTGTGTGTGGTGTCTTTCCCACCATGTTCTGGTCTTTTTAAAATTTTATTTTATTGATTTTTTTTTACAGAGAGGAAGGGAAAGAGCTAGAAATATCAATCAGCTGCCTCTTGTGCACCCCCTACTGGGGACATGCCCGAAACTAAGAACATGCACATCCGTGGAGTAGGTCCTTCTGGCTGAGACCCTGGAGAGAGTATGAATGGTGCATGAGAAACCAGTTTCATATGTGGGGACATTGGAGGCCATCCATCTATATGGACATTGCTTCCTCTAATTCTTGCCTTTGTTCTTTCCTTCTTTATTAGCCTTGCCGTATCATCTGGAATAGTACTGGGAAAGAAAGTTTTCTTTTGTTACGTTTGTTAGTAAAACTTACAAGTTTTCATTTCTCAGAAAACTATTTTCAACTGTTGTCTTGCTCATGATATAAACTCTGAGAAGCAAAACTATTTGCAGAAGAAAGTCCTTTTTTTGTGTTCTAGTAAACAAGCTGTGTTTACTTTTAAAAAATTCTATTTAAAGAAAGAATAAAAACACTGAGGAAAAGCATGCTTCCTGATTGAAGTAAACACATTTTAGTGAATGCCATTTATTTTGTTTTTCAAAGTTTTTTTTTCTACATTCTCAAATTATTTGATTAAAGTTGCTGTGTAAATTTCTTCAGTGTATATGCTCATCCAGTAATGTTTGTGCTACTATCTCATTTTTAAAAACGCCTATAAAAGGTTTATAAAATATACATATATCAAAATAACTACAGATACATGAATATACATGACTGGAACTTATAGTGATGGGAGAACTATGGGAATATAGTATTGATAATTGCAGTCTCTTTTGTTTCAAGGGATTTGCATTTTGGGGGAGGGAATAAATTAGGTGACCAGATTAGAGTATATCCTAGACAATATATAATATAGGGAATGACATTGAAAGTTTCTGGTAAGTGATCTGCTGTAATTATAAAACTGCAGTGCTAGCTTCCCCAGTAGGAAATGGAGAAATCTTATTTCAGAGGAAGTTATCAATTTCTAATGATAGAAATATTTTTAATTTGAATGAAAAGGGAAAAGTCATATTACCCTATTAATCTGTTTGTGTATTTAGTATGAATTACAGCATTTATTGGGTGAAAGCCAGATATTAAATAGATTTCTCGATTTGTATGTTTATTTTCTCTTCCATCTAGAAAGAGTTTTCATCTAGGAAGAAATAATCCAGGAAAAGGAAGAATAAGCAGATCAAGATGTGTAGCTCTGTGGCAGCCAAGTTGTGGTTTTTGACAGATCGTCGAATCAGGGAAGACTATCCCCAAAAAGAGATCTTACGAGCATTAAAGGCCAAATGCTGTGAGGAGGAGCTGGACTTTAGGGCCGTGGTGATGGATGAAGTGGTGCTGACAATTGAGCAAGGAAACCTGGGTAAGTCTTTACTAATTTTTTAGATTTTTACTTAGAATAAGGTGACACTGCATACTTCAGGAATAATTATGACAAAGGCATATTTAAGAGTCTTAGCATACTAAGTATTACCTAATCTTAAAAATCTAGTATATTTTCTGGAAGAAATGGAAAAAGCAGTATTTATTAAATCCCTTATTGTGTTATTTAGGAAAATAGTTGGGAAGGAAATGAAAGATAATCAACTAGTTTTCTTCTGTTATTACTGTCTTCTAGTTTTAAAAGACCTTGTAATCCATTGGGAGGGGGATAAGTTCAAAATACATGTGTGGTTCACTTTTTAAAAATTTAATATTTTATTAGTTTTTAGAGACTGGGAAGAGAGAAGGATAGAGAGATAGAAATATTAATGAGAGAGGACCATCATCAATTGGCTGACTCCTGCAGGGCTCCCACTGGGGATTGAGCGTACTGGTTTGGTGGTGATGAACTCCTTTAGCTTTTTCTTGTCTGTGAAGCTCTTTATCAGACCTTCCATTCAAAATGATAGCTATGCTGAGTAGAGTAATCTTGATTGTAGGTCCTTGCTATTCATCATTTTGAATATTTCTTGCCACTTCCTTCTGACCTGCAAAGTTTGTGTTGAGAAATCAGCTGACGGTTGTATGGGCACTCCCTTTAGGTAACTAATAACTGCTCTTCTCTTGCTGCTTTTAAGATTCTCTCTTTGTCTTTAACCCTTGGCTTTTTAATTATGATGTGTCTTGGTGTGGGCCTCTTTGGGTTCCTCTTGTTTGGGACTCTCTGTGCTGCCTGAACTAATTCTATTAGTTCATCAGGTAGGGGAAGCTTTCTGTCATTTCTTCAAGTAGGTTTTCAGTATCTTGCATTCTCTCTTCTCCTTCTGGCATTCCCATAATGTGAATGTTGGTATGCTTGAAGTTGTTGTCCCAGGGGCTCCTTAAACTATCTTCATATTTTTCTTTTTGCTCTTCTAATTGGGTGTTTTTTGCTTCCTCATATTCCAGATCCTTGATTTGATTCTTGGAATCCTCTACTCTCCTGTTGAATCCCTGTAAATTATTTTTTATTTCAGTTAATGTATGCTTAATTTCTGACTGGTCTTTTTTTTTTGTCTTTGACATTCTCACTAAAATCTTGAAAGTCTCACCAAGTCCCTTGAAGCTCTCCTTAAGATCCTTGAGTAATCTTATAACCATTGTTTTGAACTCTGTATCCATTAGTTTGCTTGCTTCCATTTCTTTTATTTGTAACATGTTTCTTTGTCTCAGCATTCTGTCTGCTTCCCTATGTTTGTTTCTATGTATTAGGTACAGCTATTATGTCTCCTGGAATTGGTAGGGTGGCCTTGTGTGATAGATGTCCTTTAGACACATATGTGCTGCAGTCTTATTGTAGTTGAGCCTTGATTGGCCTCACTGGGAGGAATTGGCATCACTGGGAGGAATTGGCCTCTAGGCCAATTGGCTATGTGGACCAGCTGCATCTGTAGTGTCTGCCCCCTGGTGGTCAGTGCGTGTCATAGCACTGGTTGGACAGACATGAAGCCTTTTATATATATAGATATGTCATCACTTAAAAAAGAACATAATACAGAGAATTACGGGGAGCAAAATGTTAATGTTTTCTATTGTACCTTTCTCTTCCTGCCTTGCCATCCACTCACACTCAGAGATAGCCATTTATATCATTTATCCTTTCATCCATTTTCTATGCATATGCAAACACAGATAAAATTTATTCTCAGATTTGCTTTTTTTTTTTTAAGTTCATCTCTGGAAATTTTCTATTTTTGAACATGATTATAACATTGTTTTTAATGGCTATGTTGTATTTCTTTGTATCTATTTTTTATTTTCTGTTAGTCCTCATCCAAGAATTTTTTCATTGATTTTTAGAGTGAAAGGGAGCAGGAGAGACAGAGATAGAAACATCAATGTGAGAGACTTATCGATTGGTTGACACACACACACACACACACACACACACACACACACACACACACACACCAGGGCTGGGGATTGAGCTAGCAACTGAGGTATGTACCCTTGACTGGAATTGAACCTGCGACCCTTCAGTCCTGACTTGGGCATATTTCTTTGTATTGACACCTACAATTATTTATTTAACCAGTGAAGTTTTTCTCATTAAAATTTCTTTATAAAGATATATAATTTAAGGTAAGATGTCTGTGTCCCAATGATATATTAACAACATTTAGTACATTTAGTTTTGTGACTCAGCTGTCCTTGTATTTTATTGTTTATTTCATTTTCACGGTTTTGATCTGTTCCTGTATATTTCAGGTTTGCGGATCAATGGAGAACTAATTACTGCCTATCCTCAGGTGGTGGTAGTGAGAGTACCAACCCCTTGGGTGCAAAGTGATAGTGACATCACTGTTTTACGCCACCTAGAGAAGATGGGATGCCGGTTGATGAACCGACCTCAAGCGATCCTGAACTGTGTGAATAAGTTCTGGACCTTTCAAGAGTTGGCTGGCCATGGTGTTCCTCTGCCCGATACTTTCTCTTATGGTGAGTTAACTAATAAGAGTTTATAGTCTTAAGTTTTAGAGAACTGATAGTTTTGAAAGCCATATTAAACTAACAGGGTTATGCGATATATGGAAATATGTAAACATGAAAGAAATTCAGAAAACTTTGCTTGGAAGGGCCAGATATCAATTTGTGACCCTCCATAATGCTGCTGTTGTGTGAAAGCTGCTATAAAAAATGCTTAAATAAGTGTAGCTGTGTTCCAATAAAACTTGATTACAAAAAAAACCAAAAAACAACAACAGTGGGCCAGTTTGTATCATAGGCTCCAGTTTGCCAGCCTTTGTGGTAAAAGATAATAACTTGATGACATCTCTGTTTAATTTCTATTTATCTTCACTACCATTTTCATGGTAATTCTTCATAAATACTTTCTTGTTTTTTAAGAAAATGACACTACACCAGGCATACTTTAAACTAGTGTTTCTAAAACTATCCGTGGTAAAGGATCTTTTTTGTTCTTATAAAGACCAGTTTGCTCTACATCAATGCCCTTATAAAGTACAATATAAATATCACAGCAATGCCAACTTTCTATAAAAGCTTTTAGTGCTTCCTCTTTTTGTATTTATCTGGTCACCTATCAATAGCAAAGAAGTTACTAATTGGGCACAGGTTACTAGACCACACTGTTAGTAGCACTGCTATAAGTAATATTGTTGATATATTTACTTTCTTTCCTGTTCTTTTAGTTTGGAAAGGGTAAGTCAGTCTCGTTTTTCACAGAGATATTTTTCCAAATAAATGTCCAGTAGAATGGTAGGAGAGTTAACGAGGCTTTAAAAAGAAAGCCCTGTTCTCTTCTTATTTTTAATGTTTTAAAGAAGGAAACTCTTCAAGTCTACATAATATGTGATACAGTTGCTGTTTTTAGCAGTTGCATAAGAAGAGGCAAAATGAATAGTTTGAGAATTCTGTCTTCCAGATGTTTATATCATGGCTCTATAATTCTAATTTTAAGAGAGTGAAAATAAGGAAAAGGTTAACCAACTGAAATATTACTGATGCTCTGATGTTGAAGGCTTCATATTTGGGCATGGATCACCTTAATTTTTCTAAGCTGTTAATTTATGATATTGCAGTTAATAAACTTTCCTATTTCAATTTTTCTGTATCATCATGTCATTTTTTTTACAACTACAATCATTTTTATTTTTTATTTTTTTGCTTTAATCTTGCTATTGTATCATTTGTTCCTTGGCAATATAAACAGTAAGAAGCATGACTTAAAACATTGGTACTGAGTAGTTAGTGTAGAAAGAACTCTGATTAATTAATAAGAGGTAAGAAAAATTAATTTGTGTGTTTGAGACAGAAAGTGTGTGTACATATGCATACTGCATCTTCAGCCTTGGATAAGTCTTCTTAACTAACTCTTTCTTCTGGTTCTTATCCAAACAGGGAACTGCATATACTAAAGTAGGTCTTGAGATTTCAGTTATTTGTATAGTGGAAAAATAAGGGATAAAAATATGAAAAGCCCTAACCAGTTTGGCTCAGTGGATAGAGCATTGGCCTGTGAACTGAAGGGTCCCAGGTTCAGTTCTGGTCAGGGGCATGTTCTGTGGTTGTGGGCACATCCCCAGTAAGGGTTGTGTAGGAGACAGCTAATCGATGTTTCTAACTCTATCCTTCTCCCTTCCTCTCCTTAAAAAAATCAATAAAATATACATTTTTAAAAATATGAAAGATGGTATAGAATTGGGAAACATTGTTTTAATGAAGTTTACTTAAATTTTTTTAGGTTGGATATTAGACTATTTATAGTTTAAGATAGCTCTTACCCATTTTAAAAGATGTGGTTGTTTTAAACAGATATTTAACTGTATTTTTAACTTTTATTTATCATGAGGTTCTTAACTTCTACCTTCCTTTTGTTGATATTAGTGTAGATAAAATTTGTCACACCCTGCATCTATTGATGATGTTTTTGAAATTTTTTGTGCTCAAATCAGGTGGTCATGAGAATTTTTCTAAGATGATTGATGAAGCAGAAGTACTGGAGTTCCCAATGGTAGTGAAGAATACACGAGGTCATAGAGGTGTGTATATTGTTGCCATGGTAACATAAGTTTGACATTTACTTTTAATAAGGGTGATTGATTATATAGTAGATGATTTTTCTCAGTCTTATCTAAGCAGTTATTTTTTTTTGTCTTTGCTCATGGTTATTGACTAGGTAGTAGTCTTGTCAACTCAAATGCATAGCTTTTGAAGCAGGGCTTCTGAAGAAAAATTAGAGGGAAATTATTAGGTGCCTGGTACCTCAAACTTATAGAAGGCTACTGTGAGTTGTTTAGCTTGGCTTGAAGCTATTTCTATTCATTTAGTGATTATCCTAGAGATTTTAAGACACATAATTAGATTGAGTCCCAAGTTAATACCTTTGTCTTAATCAAGAGTTCAGGGACTTTCATGGACTCCAATCATTCTCCTTCCCAATTTATGTAGATTGAAGAATTAAATGTATAAGGCAAAAATATACAGCTTTAGAAGACAGTGTATAAAAATATCTTAATGACTTTAAGAAAATGCCGTTCTTAAGGCATAAAATGATTCATAAAATCCAAGTACTTCATTCACAAGGATGAGTGCCTTAATGGGGATAACTGGGTCAGGGGTCAGCTGGGACTCTTGACTGCAATATTCATATTGGGCTACTCCATTGTGGCAGCCAAGAAATATGGGCTTCTACAGTGGATGTTCCAAAGAAGCGGCATGAGTTTTTATGAAATGGTCTCAAAAGTCATACAGAATTGCTTCTGCTATATTCTGTTGGTTGAAGCAATCAAAAGTCCTCCTAAATTCAGAGGGATGGGACATAGATTCCCCCTCTTCTTGATGGAAAGAATGTTAAATGATTTATAACTGTGTTTCTAAAAATTTGCAAATAAACCAATGGAAGGGACTAGAGAATTTAGAAACCAAAGTTAAGTATGTAGTGACATATTGCTATTTTAATATACAAAGTGAGCAAAAGTAGGTTTGAGTACATGAAACATAGTTCATAAAGATATTGTAATAATCATAACCTGCATATCTTTTTCATATGAACAACTATTAGCCTACTTTTGCAAATCCCTGTATACAAATTAATGACATGATTTAATTTAGAGGAAAATGTTTTGCTAATAAGTGAGTGGCATTATTAGCTAACCTGGAGGAATAAAATTTTATATCTCTTCCTCACAGCATATACTGAAATAAATTCTAGATTACTGTAAGATTTTGGATAGAGATTGAGAATCATGGATGGTGATTATTAACTTTTTTATGTACAATTTTGCATTGTCTTATTAATTGTAACCATATTACTTTGGTTAAAAAGCAATTGGTTTTGAAAGAACAGACTGGGACACAAGAAGATGGAGGCTGTAGATTATCAATCAACCTACCCACAGATTGATGACTTACACATATTTTTTATTCTTTTTCAATCACAGGTAAAGCTGTTTTCTTGGCTCGAGATAAGCACCATTTGGCTGATCTAAGCCATCTTATTCGCCATGAAGCTCCATACCTGTTCCAGAAGTATGTTAAAGAGTCTCATGGACGGGATGTACGTGTCATTGTTGTGGGAGGCCGTGTGGTTGGCACCATGTTACGTTGTTCAACAGATGGGAGGATGCAAAGCAACTGCTCACTAGGTAAAAATGATGCAGGTGTCTTTATAGTATATAAAGTAATATTACGGCTTGTCCAATGAGTATTTGTATGTAACTATAAATTTTTACTTAATAAGTTGAAAAACACATTATCTTTCACATCTAAGTATGATTAATAGACTATGACTATAATACATATACTTTTGAGGGTTTTTTTTTTTTTTCTTCTTCTTCTTTTTTTTTTTTTTTTTCCTTTTTCCAGAAATGAGATTGGATTTCTCTGAGTCATGAATTTTTCACTCAGGCTCAATTTGTAACTCAATGCATACATGTATGAAATGTCTGATTAGATTTAAGGATACCCTTTAAAAAAAAAAAAAAAAAAATATATATATATATATATATATATATATATATATATATATTTATTTATTTTATATTTGGAATTTATTTAAGATAGATGTATCCTAATTCTTTTATTTTATCTATTGTTCCAAACAAGATAGCTGATTTTGATTTATCTAAATGTGTATTTTCTGAAATCTTTTATTGTTGAAATGCCACAGAATTTAGTCTGAGTTTTTTTTTCTTTGTTTATTTCACTTTCAATACTATCTATATGTTAATATTCTCAAATTTATATCTCTATTTTAGGCTTTCTCCTTTAACTCCAGGCACATATAAATAACTGCCTACTCAGTATCTCCGTGTAGATGTCTAACAGATATTTATTTGTTTGTTTATTTATCTATTTATTGCCTTTTTGAAACAAGGCCACCAAAAATTTTGGTTGCCTCAAAAAAAAAATTAAATAAATAAATTGGGAGAGAGAAAGAGATTATAGACATTTAATTTTAACATGTCCAGAACTGAGCTGCTGATCTAAGTCTTCCTCTTACTTGTGTTCCATATCCAGTTACCACTTAATGGCAATTCTACCTTTCCAGTTTATACCAATATCCTTAGAGTCACCTTGTTCTCTCTCCTCTCCCTTTTTCTGTTTTCCAAATTAATAATAACTGGTTGTCCCAGAACTCTTTATTGAATAGACTGTTTATTACTGATTTGTAATGCCACCTATTTTATCTATTGAATTTCCAAATATGTATTGTTTTGTTGCAGCACCCTCTTTTCAGATGCTATTCTTTCCCTGTATGAGTGAATATCAATCTTAATTCTTTTGGTATTACGCCTACGTATCTAATAGAGCAAGAGCCGTACTGTCTTGTTCTTCAGAATTGAGTACCCTTATTATTTTATCCCCAGAGAAGCCTTTTTTAATGATGAATATTCTCTCATATTCAGTATTAATTGTTGTAGCAGCATTTTGTATATAGCAATGAACAGAATAGATAAAAATCACTGCTTTCATGGGTGTTGTGTTCCAGTGTTTTGCTGAAAACGTTTAATAGTTTTTGTCGTAGACCATATTAGAATATCTGTTATGTTTCAAAATTCTTATATAGTACTTATATGATCTATTCCTAGGTAGTCTTTAAAAAACACACAACCATTTAAAGTTGATTGTACCTATATTACAAGAATCGTTACCATTGTTTACTCCCCAACTTTAACTTCCCACATTTTGAGGTCTCTCTTCTTAATCATTTTCTGTTATGTTTATATCTTTTCTTGATTATTTTCCCTGGTAGTTGGTGTGAGTGATAGATATACCCCCTCTTATATCTTATTGTTTGAGATTGGATTCTTAGATTCCAAGAGTCAATTTTCTTTTTCTTTTTCTTTTTTTTCTTTTTTTATATTTTATTGATTTTTCACAGAGAGGAAGAGAGAGGGATAGAGAGTTAGAAACATCGATGATAGAGAATCATCGATCAGCTGCCTCCTGCACACCCCACACTGGGGATGCGCCCGCAACCAAGGTACATGCCCTTGCCCGGAATCGAACCCAGGGCCTTTCAGTCCGCAGGCCGACGCTCTATCCACTGAGCCAAACGGTCCCTCAATTTTCAATTCTGCTTTATAGGTTACCCTCGAGGCCTGGTGCATGAAATTTGTGCATGGGGATGTGTGTCCCTCAGCCCAGCCTGTACTCTCTCCAATATGGGACCCCTCGAGGGGGACATCTCTCTCACAATCCAGGACTGCTGGCTCCCAACTGCTCGCCTGCCTGCGTTCCTGATTGCTCCTAACTGCTTCTGCCTGCCAGCCTGATCACTCCCTAACCACTCCCCTGATAACCTGATTTATGCCTAACTGCTTCCTGCCAGCCTGATTGCCCCTAACTGCCCTCACCTCCAGGCATGGTCACTCCTAACTGCCCTCCTCTGTAGGCCTGGTCCCTCCATGCCAACCTCTCTCCCCTGCAGGCCTGGGTCCCCTTCAACTGCCCTTCCCTGCAGGCCCAGTTCCCCCAACTTCCCACCTCTGCAGGCCTGGTCCCCCCACAAGTGCCCTCTCCTGCAGGCTTGATCGCCCCCAACTGCCCTCCCTTGCAGGCCTGGTCCCTCCCAACTACCCTCCCCTGCTGGCCATCTTATGGCAGCCTTCTTGTTGTCCACATGGGGGCAGGATCTTTGACCACAAAAGGGCAGCCATCTTGTGTGCTGGTCAATTTGCATATTATTATTTCATTACATAGGATAGAGGTCAGGTACACAGGTGGGGGCCAGTTGGTTTGCCACCAGGTCGGGTGGGAGTATGTGGTGGCCTGGGCAAGGGGCCTGTGGTGGTTTGCAGGCTGGCCATGCCCCCCAGTGACCCAAACGGAGGCCCTGGTATCTGGGATTTATTTATCTTCTGTAATTGAAACTTTGTAGCCTTAAGTGGCCGCCAAGGCAAGCCAGCGCTGCAGAAAGCTTGGCTTCATCCATCATCGGGGGGCAACTCAAGCCTTCTGCTTTCTCAAGCTCCATGGCTGCTGCCATTTTTGTTGGGATTTATTTATCTGCTATAATTGAAACTTTGTAGCCCTCCAGGATGTGTGGAAAGCTTGGCTTCCTCCATTGCTGGGGAAATATAAGCCTCCTGTTCACTCTGTGGCCGTAGCCATCTTGGTTGGGTTAATTTGCATACTCTCTCTTGATCGGCTGGTGGGCGTGGCTTATGGGTGTGGTGGAGTGATGGTTAATTTGTGTATTGCTCTTTTATTAGATAGAAGGATTGTTACAGTTGAATGGCCAAATTGTGTTGTGTTTATTTAGGTAAATCACTTTTTCTAAGTCTTGTCTTTTTTTTTTTTTTTTTACTCAGATTTTTTTCAGAATTTATTTATTTATTGTTAATCCTCACCTGAGGATATTTTTCCATTGATTTTTAGAGAGGGTAAGGAAGGGGTAGAGACACAGAGAGAAACAAATCGATTGGTTGCCTCCTACACACACCTCAACCAGGGATTGAACCTGCAATCCTTCCTGTGCCTGGGGCAACACTCAACCAACCTTGTTTGTTTATTTATTTATTTATTTATTTATTTATTTATTATTTTTTTTATTGTTGTCCCCTCATGGCTCTGCTTTGGTGGTTTGGAGAAGAGGTCATTTAATTCATGGGGTAATGTGCCAGGTTCCTACTGAGGTACTTTAAAGAAGCCTTCCTATTTCCTGGACTCCCCTCCCTACTCTTTCAGCTTCAGTGACAGGGAGGTCTCAGCTTACTTATGCAGTTACTTATTCACCTCTTTGGGATCTAAAACTTTAGGCATATTCATGTAAGGTTGATGTCAGTTTTCCTCCTGTGGATGCACAGTGCTATTTGAGCCAAGCTCTTCTCAAAATTCTTTGCTGCCTAGTCCTTATCTCAGAGCTTCCTGAAGCTAGTCTCCAAATGAGAGAGTCTAACTCTAATTCCTTTCTCTCAGATGCCAGCAAACCTTAAGACTTCATTTATTTTCATTCAGCTCCCTTCAGCCCCGGAATCCTTTTGGCTGAGGAATGGGGATTATAGAAGAAGAGTGCCATGTTTAGGTTCCCTTTGTTGTAAGATTTTATCCTATCCTCCATCCATATTATGCATCTCTGCTATTTTTGTCATAACTGTATTTATGCAAGAGTTCTGCTTGGTCTATATTATTGCTAATAAGGTAAGCTTCCGTGAAAGTTGAATGTCTTCTTCAGAATAAATAGCATATTGAAAAAGTATAAAATTAGGAATTCTCTGAGAGACTGGGTTAGAAAGGGATTCCCTAAATGAATGAAACTTAGATTTCAAAGTCCCAATTTTACATGAGAAGAACACCTTTGTTTTCACTACTGATTTACAAGAAAGGGCTAGCGATGGAGGCCAGCTTTATTTTATTACAGAAATTTATCATTTTGGTAACTTCTTATTTTTTTTTTCCTTCTCTTTTGCCAGGTGGTGTGGGGATGATGTGCTCATTGAGTGAACAAGGAAAGCAGCTAGCCATCCAGGTGTCTAATATCCTGGGGATGGATGTGTGTGGCATTGACCTGTTGATGAAAGATGACGGCTCCTTCTGTGTCTGCGAGGCCAATGCAAATGTAGGTTTCATCGCCTTTGATAAGGCTTGTAATCTAGATGTAGCTGGTATCATAGCGGACTATGCCGCCTCCCTTCTGCCCTCTGGCCGGCTCACCCGGCGTATGTCCCTGCTCTCCGTGGTGTCCACGGCCAGTGAGACTAGTGAGCCGGAGCTGGGTCCCCCAGCCAGCACTGCTGTCGACAGCATGAGCGCAAGTTCCAGCTCTGTCGACAGCGACCCTGAAAGCACCGAGCGAGAACTGCTCACCAAGCTCCCAGGGGGCCTATTCAACATGAACCAGCTGCTAGCCAATGAAATTGAACTCCTGGTGGAGTGACTCCACCGGTAAATAATTAACCAACAAAACCCTGTAAACTTTTCTTTTTTCTTCTTAATTTTTTTAACCAACTTGCAATGCTGTTCATGGAATATGCTCAGGAAGATGAGAGAAAATTGAGTAGGATTAGTTAGAAGAGAAGAAAGAGGGAGATAGTCAAGACCTCTGCTAGTAAGATGTTGCTGTCTTGCATTTACAAATGATACAGATAGGCTAGGCAGAAGAGGTGAGATACAGAAAAAATGTCAGGTTCTCATAGTTACCCTTTTAATTACTCAAAAATGTGCGTGTTCTCAGCCATAAAGAACATACAAAATTTTTTCATGGTTCCTTGCTTTTGTTTTTGTACAGTTGATATAAATTTCAGAGTACCATAACTTTACATTGTGTGGCAAAGATTTATAATGGGTTTAGGAAAAACATCTATTCTAAATTACAGGAATTTTTTAATACAAATCTGAAAATTCTGCCTTTACCATATTAACTAGCAGCTTTATATTCATAGTTTATGATGTCTTGAGGGGGCTCTTATTGGGATTTATTATTTCTGTTTTTAGTTTTTTCCTTAATTTGAGTGGGAGGGCATTGTGAATATGATCCAATAAAGGTTTTTTAAATGACAAAATTGGCATGTTTGCATGATAAAAGGGAAATGAACAGTATTGCAATGTCTGGTACACAAAATATCATTTATTCCAATGTAGATAAAATTACACTAGTTTAAAATATGTGCATTGACTTGTATTTGTTAGTGTTTTGGTCTTTTTTGAAGATATATGCTCTGTTAATGTTGCATTTTTTAAAACATCATACTCTAACATTCCCTGATCTATGCCTGCATCTTTAACAATGGCCAAAGTGAAGGAAATGCTACCTTTTTTGTTAACAAGACACTGTCTTCAAACATGTGCATTGAAAGCCTTTTATTTTTGTTCCCCTTTTTTCTTTTGGTGGTTGGGCATTTAAAGAATAAGGACAAGGAAAAATATTTTGGGTGGCAAATCAAGGGCCTATTAGTTCTTAAGCATAAGCTGAAGCGATTTCTAATTTTTCAGCATTATATTGCATTTTTCACACTTTAAGAGGGACTATATATGTGTGTGTGCATGCATGCATGTGTATGTGTTTTGCTTTTTGTTTACACCAACCAGTCAAAAAGGGTAGATTCTAGAAAATGGAGCATGGTGGGAAACACTTTTTTTTTTTTTAACTTTAAAAAGAAGATTAAAGTTTTCATAACTGTACTACACTAGGGTAGAGGTACTCACCTAAAAATATAAGGAAAATAGATGCTTCTTAGGCCTTTTGTGTATATGTTGTTTGTTTATTTTTTTTCTTTGTTTCTGGACTGTTCAGTGTATGATTTATTTAAGGCTACATGCTTTTTTCTTCATTGCTTCTGACTGTGTTTTCTCCTATTTGCACATAGGTTTTGGGGTAGGGTAGACTGGGCGTTTTTGTTTGGGGACTTAGCAGTATTGAGTCTCTTTGTAGCCCTACTCTGAAACCTTCAGTACTCTCCACCATTTATATTCCTTTTTTTCTGGATTTATAAAAGCCCCCAAACTGCATATAATATGAGCCTTTACAACCTGGGTAGAACTATGCCAGTGATGGTTATGAAGGAGTGTTAAGAAATGGAGGTGCTCCAGAGCTCAACGTAATTTTTTTTAAGCAGCAAGTTCCATCTCCCTACAATCCTTTGAAGCTTTTACTCAAGTCCTTTCTTGCCTCTCCAGTGCTTTTTTTTCCTTCAGATGGACCTTAACTTAATTTCTTGGACACTACTATAGAGACTTCGAGGCAATAATAAAAGACCAGTATTAACCAGCTCTAATGATCTTACAGAACGATCATGCATACTTGTACAGTTTTCCCCAGTTTTAAAAAGGAATGTAATAAAAAAAATTTTCCATAGAATTAAATAATTTTGAAATTGAATGAAAGGTTGATTGTTGACAAATAGAATAGTGCTTCTACTGTGCAGTGTTTCATTTCACCTAAAAAATATATACATAAGAGGAGTTTCTAATTTATTTTAGGATCTTCTAATCTCATCTAGAAGAATTTGACTTGCACAGGGTTATTTTGGGACTTACATATATAAGTACCCCTGACTCACTAACAGAAATACTTGATACTTCTTTCACTGAATGACCATACTTTGGAGGATGTATCATATTTGGGATAAATAAATGAGGGAGAAAGAACTGCTTAATTAAGTCATCATTCATATGTTTGTGTAGACATCATCTGGTTGCCACCTAAATTATGTTACATATATTTTAAATAGTTACATATCACGTATATAGATAAATAAATTTTAAAACACAAATGCCCTCTCTATTTGATAAAGAACTCAAGGTTTGTGTCGGGTGGAATAAGGCACCAGGAAAAATGTAGGTATCTTTTTTTAAAATTTTTACCAAATTAACCAATTATAAAAAATGTCAGATTATTTCACCTTTGGTTTTATTCAGTCTTCATCTTTTGTGCATTCACATTATATTAAAACATAGTTTTACCAACCTATTTCTAGATTACACACTCTCATGTTTGAATGAAAAGGGAAGAAATGGTCATCTTAGACTTTAAAAACATGAATATTTTCTTGAATTTCTTCAAAAGTTAAGGTGAAGGATATAAGCAAATTATTCTGGAAGAACCCAAATGAAAACAACCCATATATTTAAGTGAAAGTTAAATATATTTTCATATTGTTTAATAACTTTTGTTTATTAATCTTTATTGCTATTATGAGGTAAAATGTATTTATTAAATATGTATAATCATTATGCCAAAATTTGAATTACTGTAAAATTATTGTATATTATTAAAATTGTAATTCTGAATTGTATTTTAAAAGTAATTATTTCTTATATTGTTTTTATGTTACTCATGATGACAACTGGACTATATATACATACATACACATATATAAATATGAACTATTCCATTTAAAATTTTTAATAGTTTTTTTTGTGTGTGTGTGCCTAAAATCGGTCATTTCTGCTGACTTTCACTCCACTGAACTTTAAAACTTTTCTGTATGTGCTATCAATAAGAAAATATCCTGGGACATCATAAAAATCCATCAAGAGACTTGCTTTCATAAAGCACTTTATCAGACTTTTGAGAAATGATTGAAGGCATTGAACGAAGTAATTGTCTTTCAAAATCATCTCTTTTTCTCAAGAAGAAAATGGAAAAACAAATTCTCTTCATTCAGTGAGCCCCCAGTTTGGGGTCTGGGAGCCTAGAGACATTGTGAAATCAAATCAAATCTTATTTTCTTCTGGCTCACTCTTTTTGAGAAGGTTAATGGGCTATATGGCTGGTGAGACACGATCCCCTCCTAAGAAAATGTAGGTGCTCAGACAGGTAACCTCTGCTGCTACTGTTTTATTTGTTTGTTTGTTTGTTTAATTTCATTTAAAATTTGTTTTTGTTGTACTAGGATATTTTTAAATGTAATATATCACAGGATTTATAATCAGGTTTATTGCTTTTTTTCTTTTTATTAAAAAACAACAACAAAGTTTTATTTAAAATACATTTAGGCGCCTTTGAAGCTTGGATTTTGGAATGTTTCAGTAGTGGACAAAAATCTGCTGTTGGAATCTTCTAGTCCTCCAGGTTTAATTTGAAGTTTTTAGTTTTGTTTTGAATTTTTGTGTGGTATTTTATTTCCTTTATATCAAAGCCCTTTACCATGATGTTTTGGGGTGGCTGCCTAACACTAGTGAAAATGCTTTCTATATTAACGAAAATTTGGCATTTGAAATTCCTTAATGTTTTGTATTTTTTAAATTGTTTTTAAAGAAATATTCTAACTGCTTTTACTGTTACTGTTCTTTGCCAGCCTTTTCAGGAGCCAAAAAAAATCAAAAACAAACAAACAAAAAAATACCCAGAGAAAAACTTTCCTTCTTCCCCCTTCCTGATGATGAGTGAGAAGTATTGAGAACTTTCGGGGTCAGTGCCCTTCTAAACTCCCCTTCCCCCAATAATGCAGCTGTGTAATGAATGGTAAATGCAGCGGTTTGGATTCAGGCACAGCCCCTGCCTGCTTGCAGGTAATTTGACTCTTTATCCTTTCTTTTCCATCACAAGGCTAACTACTTTCCTTTTTAAAAGTTTCTTTATGTGCTTTCAAGGTAACCATGGGTTTGTCATAGCTCTCATTAAAAAAAAAAAAAGCATAACTTTAGCAAATAATTTGATTAAGGAACATTTGTGGATACAATTTGAATTGGTTGGGATGAACTCAGGACTTTCATTGGGGATGTGCATACAGATAACTCCATTCTTTGCATTTATGTCTATAACTACTTCAGAGTGTGACTTTTTGGCTTTGTTTTTTTGTTTTGGGTTTGTTTGTTTCTTCCATTGTGCTACTCTGGCTTAAGCTTTTTCAGGGGTTGGTGTTCCGAGTACACAGTGAGCTCACAGTATAAAGACATCAATTAGGAGTTGACAGGTATGGAAAACTAGAGTTCTGAAAAGGTAAATTTAGGTTGTAGATTATATGTATGATAAAAATTCACCATAGCATTTAGTTGACCCGAGTGCTTCTCTTTCTGTGACATCATAAAAGTGAAAGGGAATGACGAGACAACGGTAGCAGGAAGAACTGTTAAGAGCAGCATAATTTCAGATCTAATTTATTATTTCAGACAGTAGTGTTAACAAAAATAGATGTGAATAACTTTGAGATTATCATAAAATAACGGTTCGTTCATTTAAAAATTACAGGTTTGAATAGATTGGAGGGCATTTCTGAAACACATGATTGCTAAGTAGATAAACAAAGGCCATAAAGTTAGTGGCAGGAATAGGAATACAACTTATCCATTTTAATACCCTTCCTATTTTTTAGTATACTGTCCCCTCCTCTGTGTGCCCCAACCCAATATATGAGTTACCATTTTGGGAGATAATCCTCTTCCTAACAGGTAGAATTTTAGTGACACTAGTCAGGACCTTTTCAAGATACACTTCTATGTAATTTTGTCCTGTGGCTTTATATGTCCTGTCCAAAGAGACTGCCCAACAAATCTCTATAGTTAGTAGGAAATCCTGGCTTATAATGCTATTTCTACAGCTGAAGATATAAATCGTTAACTTGTGTTTTATTTCACTCATATAAAGTACAGAAACTTCCATAAGCATTTTAAGACAAAAACACTTTTCTGTGAACAGAAATTTACTAACGAAAGAATCCCAGCTGCACTCCTTTTGAAATTTTTATGATGTATGCTAAAAAAGGCTTGTATAGGAGAACCTTGTTCTCCTGTTACTAAGAATGGCCAGCTTTAGAATGTGTGGAATAGGATTGCATGAAACATGGAGAATTTAGCAGCCTTCATTCTGATGCCTCCATGAAGATCACTGACTTGATAAGAATGATCTTGCTTTTAGGGTTTACCATAATCAGTAGGTGGGCCTTATATAGCATATATGCCTGGCTGCTATGGTGGGGTTTGGGAACATGAGGGGTGGGGTGAATTGTTGTTGTTTTAGGTTTCAGTCAGACAGACATCCCTGTGCCCCAGTTCCCAGAAGCACAGCAGGCCTGTAGGATCATCCGTGGGAACGGCGCAGTCCTGACATCACCAACTCTCCTGCTCAGGCTCATCCCATATACAGAGGTCAAAAGGGTGGGGTTTGAGATGGGGGAAGGAAAAGAAAGTAGAAACTTTCACGTTAGTGCTACTGTTGGCTAGCCTTTGGTGCTTATGTGTTTTATTTATTTATTTTTTTAAGTTAGTAAAACTACATTTTTATTTTGGGGTAAAGGTAGTGGGAGGTTGGAACAATAACAAGCATTTACTGGTGTTACTAGTTCATTATTGAACACTGTTCTTTAGTAGCTAATACAGAGTAAATTTGAAACCTAGATCCACAATGACAGAATGGGAATAGAAATGAATTTCAGGATTTTAACAAACAGAAAACAATGTGGTATTAATTTCTAGTTCTACAATTGCTGTTACATTTGTTAATCTGTCATGCTTTTTTTGGTCCTAATTCTTTTATGTATGTATACAGTTTGAGGAATTGTGCACTTGTGGTCAGTTCTTTTAAAAGGACTTATGAATTTATTACTCTTTTGCAAAAAAGTATTCCCAATGCTTATATGGGCATACAAATGCTACCTTATTTTAAATGTAGGTGGCGTATGTGTTCGTGTTTTAATGTATTCAGAGACATTGGGCAATAAGCAGTCCAGAACATTGAGAACTCAAGCAGGTAAAGCACCTAACACCCTTAGTTTCTAGAATTACTTTTAAAAACTCCTTTATTATTGCATCTTCCACAATTCTTTTGGTAGTCTCTGAGCTGAACATTTGTAGGAGTTGTAGACTAGCTAACATTTTAAATTATGCATTTATTCATAAAATTAAAGGGATAGGTGAAGGAGGAAAGTATAACATAAAAGAAGTAGCTCCTTGAGATGGCAAGTGTTGTGTCTAAATCTTTGCACCTTTTTAATTTTCGTTTTTTATTTTCCCAGCTTAGCGCGAATGAACATTGACCATACATTGTTTGATTTCCAAAATTGGGATTTTTTTGTTGTCTTGGATTTTGGCGGGGAGGTCTTGGGAGAAACAATGGGGAAGTTTGTGCACATGTGAAAATATGAAATGTTTAATGAAGGAATTTTTCTGTTTAATCTGAATAGTAAGCAAGAACTTTTTCTGTATACCCTTCTGCTGCAGCAGAGAAATAGCTGGTAGGTGGCAGCAGAAGAAAGAATTGTTCAGATTGATGGCTACTGACAAAATCTGCATAGAAGAGACAGAGCATGTCTACCAAGTCAAGTAAAGCTGGCAAAAAATGGAAACTGGACTAAGATTTCTAGATTTAACTCTAAATGGTAAGTCATTTTCAATTAAGAATGTATTTTCAAGTACCAGTGTTCTAGGTCCCTGTGATGTGTAATCATAAATGCCAATAGGTTGTTGCATTAGGATGAATTTCTTCTACTTTGAAAAAAATTGAGCTTTATTTAAAATTAGGGATTTATCTCTAGTTAATCAATATATGTAAACCCTGTTTTCAGTTTTAAGTAAAATTGATGGCTACATTTTAAAGATATTTAAAGAGGAGGGGGAAGAGAGAGAAGCATCAATCAGTTGTCTCCTGACAGGACCCACAACCTGGGTATGTGCTCTGATTGGGAATCAAACCTGCCATCTTTTGGTGTTTGGGACAGTGCTCCAACCAACCGAGCCATACTGGCCAGGGCACGCTTTTACTTTTTAATGATAAGAACATTAAATATCTTCCACCTCAGAATCAGAGTATATCTTTTCCAGCTGAGGTCACCAAGGTAAAGTTTAGTAATAAAAAAAAAAAATGGTTGTGGCTGAGACCGGTTTGGCTCAATGGATAGAGCGTCAGCTTGGGGACTGAAGGGTCCCGGGTTCAATTCCGATCAAGGGCATGTACCTTGGTTGTGGGCATATCCCCAGTAGGGGGTGTGCAAGAGGCAGCTGATCGATGACTCTCTCTCATCGATGTTTCTAATTATCTTTCTCCCTTCGTCTCTGTACAAAATCAATAAAATATATATTTTTTAAAAATGGTTGTGAATGTGTGCGTGTGTGAATGTGTGCTTGTGTGTGTGGTTTGTTTTATTTGTTTTTTGTAATTTAAACAATTTGTAATATTGTGATATTAGTTAATTTTTTACCTTTACTTTTTTTCTCATCCAAAAACTGTTTAAATCTAAGTGAGTTGTTTGTGTTTTCCTCCCTAGGTTCTTTTGAAGTAACCAGTGGTATTTTTTGCTTATTTCATCATTTACAGACTGGATGAAGATACGTTCAACTGTGTTTTTTTCAAATGGAGGATAATATACAGTACAAGGAAGCAATAGCTCTAGCCTGTTGATTCATTGTGTTTTCAAAAATAAAACACCAGCACTAGAAATGAAGTAGCATGGAGTACGATTTGTGTTTTTGGCAGCTATTTCTACCCACTCCATCTCCTATGAATTCACTTCAGTGCATATGTTTACACTTGAAGTTTAGCTCCATAGATATCATTTTCAGTATTCTTTTCTTCACTTTTTAAAGATGAAACTGCTTTGGTTTTTGATAGACTAATCTCTCTACAATGTATTCTAAAACAATTACTCCTCCTTTTGGCACATAGGTATGTATCACGTGTTTTAGAGCTTCCATGGGTACTACATGCTGCTCTCAGCCCACAAAAGCTGCTGGGTTCAAAATGCAATGGCTCATTATAGAGAACTGCCAGGTAGTCTTCCTAGTAAGGGGTATATTTGGGGTGGGGGGTGGGGAAAGGAGAGCTGACATTATGGAAGATGGTTGAGTCAAGAACATATTTATTCTCCTTAAACGAAGAAAGCTCTAAACTTTTCTACTGCAAAGATAGAATAAATATGGTTGAGGGCACACCCAAGGAATTAGAAGGACCTTCGGCATTCACTTGTATTCTTTCCCGTTTTTACTTACACTGTACAACTAGTCTCTTGAATATCAAAGGAAGATTTTTTTTTTTTTTTAGACAAAAAGCGAACAAATGTTGGTTTTTATTTGAACATCTGAAAGTTTAGTTTGCATTTTTACTCACTATTGCTGAAATCTAACAAGTTCCCATTGGAACTTATTTGAGGATCAGAAGATTGGAACTAGAATGTTTTAAGACATTCCAAAAAAATTTTAAAGCATCATGTGCTCCATCCATCACCATAGGTGCCTCTCAAATCACAGCTCTTCCACAATCTACTCCTGGGTACTTCTTTCAATGTTGGATTGTTGATCAATCCCTTATTTTCCTTCCACTTTTTCACTCAATGCCTCATGTATATACACCCATGAAGGACTTAACTGCAATGGAAAGTTCAAGGAAGTTTTGTAGGAATTTTTGGGCTTACCGCCATTAGCCTCCTAAAGTCCCCAAAGCGTCATGCCCTCGCATCCCAGGCAGAGCCCACAGAAGTCAGTGGCTGTAAATGGCTGCCCTTCTGACATTCTGTGAAATTCCTCAGAGCAGGAGTCGGGAGAGTTGGTTCCAGATAGATACATTAGAGAGGTTGTGACTTGCTTGGTGCCAGCAGCAGATGCAGCCCAGTTTGGTATTTAAATAAAACAAGTCAGTCACGGGAATTTAAAGTGAGGGTGTGAGAGAAGGGGTGGCAAAGGGAAAGGGACCCTTGGATTGAGTCAGGGTTGCCCCGGTTTGAACTTCAGGGCCACACTGTAGATGCAGAACCTCTGACCAGCAGGCCCGGGTCCATCAGAAAACACGTGGCGGAGGTGAGCTTCGCACTGCCTGCAGACAACCTTTGTGCTAGCTACTCCCGAGGAGGTGTCCACGCATCTCAGGATTCCCGCGTTGCTTTCATCGGAGCCAGACGTACCGTGGGCCTCAGAAAACGAAGGCCATCCGGTGCCGGAGCAGAACTTTTTCTCAGAACGGAAGAGCGGGCTGTCACAGCACACACAGCGATACATTCCTGTTTCCTAGTTATTCAGGCAGATCCCACTGAAAGGCGGTTCAGTTCCTTTTTCTCTGCTGACATACAACTGCTCGGGTGTCAGCTTCTTTCGCCACTCACTTTTTTTTTTTTTTTTAAATATATATTTTTTATTGATTTTTTACAGAGAGGAAGGGAGAGAGAGAGAGAGCTAGAAACGTCGATCAGAGAGAAACATCGACCAGCCGCCCCTTGCACACCCCCTACCGGGGATGTACCCGCAACCAATGTACATGCCCTTGACCGGAATCGAACCTGGGACCCTTCAGTCCACAGACCGACACTACCACTGAGCCAAACCGGTTTCGGCTCACCACTCACTCTTGGTGAGAGATGGCTCATGCTTCTAAGAGACCCTGCGTCCCCGTGTGCCGCCCCGGGCGCCGAGGGCGACACCAGCAGGGCGGCCTCGCACAGCTCGGCGGGGTGCCTCCCTGAGGAGCAGCCGGAGCCGCCGGGCGGAAGTTTTTTTTTTTTTTTTTTTTTTTTTAATTCATCAATTATATTGGTAGGCAGACAAGTACTTTTAGAAAAAAATTATTGCTACTTTTAATTTTCTTAAGAATGATGGTATTGAAGCAGTTCTGGAGATGGAGAGTGATAATGGTTATATAACAGTGCGAATGTCCTTAATGCCAAGGAACTATACACTTAAAAATGCTTAACAGGGGAAATTTTGTTATGTATGTTTTACTACAGTTTTTAAAAAGTTAACACAGTTCTACCATTTAGTTTATAAGGTGCCAACTTCATCACATCTTTCATCAGCATTAAAAATCTTGACAAATTGGTTTTAAAAAAGAATGATGGTATTATATCACAATTCTCATAGGAATTCTGTGAATTCTAATATGAATAATATTTTCCAAGTGCATATCCAAATTCCTGAAGTTCTGCTCTTAGACATTTTTGTCCTTTGAAATCATGTTTTTGAGGCATTTCAGGTCGAGCTTAATATCAGGTCCTGCTTCCCACAGTCTGAGTCACTTGATCCCCATTTCAACCCAACTTCTAAGTTCAATTCTGGTCTTTGGTAAAACACATCAAATATCTTTAGTCCAACAATAACACTTGGCATCAAATGACTTTTGTTACTGGCAAGATTCTGATACTATACTCCATTTTTGGTCATTTGATTTCTGTTTTGTCTCTAATGGCTGAGTGCCTGTTTTTGTAACCTTCCCTATATCCTGTGATTGAACTCAGACTTTTACTTAAGGGTATTTTAAGGGTCTACTATGTCCATGCACACTTTAGGTGCTGGGGTTAAATCAGCAATTAACAAATAATCTTTGCCATCATTTACTTTATAGTAAATAGGGAAACAGCAAATTATAAATGTTATTAAGCTGGAAGTGTGCCTGAGATGTTTGAGGAACAGCAATGAGGCCAGTATGCGTGGAACATTGAGAGCAATAGTAGAGCAGAGAGGTAATAAAGGGTCAGGCAAAACAGAGCCTTAAAATAACTGCAAGCACATTATTTTATTTTGAAAAATTGAGAGGCATTAAACAGTTTTGAGCAGAGAAGGAATATGATCTTATATTTTAAAGGGATCATCTTAGCTATATTGATGATAACGTGCTCTGAATAGTCACAGACACGGACTTCTGCTACTGGCCACGATGAATGAACTGAAAAGACCCAATTTACCTGGCCATCTGAAACCACGAAAAAGTGGGACATGATTTATGAAACAATGGTTTTCAAATATTGGACATCTGTTAGCACAAGGTTTATTTCCTAGAGATGGACAGCAACTAAGGTGAGCCCTGTGATTGCCCCAGGTTACTCCCAGGGGAATTTCCAGGTCAGTGCAGAAGAAGGCAATCCAACAGGAACCTAGTGGTCTCAACGAGGCGAAGAAATGGAGTTGAGAATTAGAGGGCCAGCATAGGTAGAATTCTCAGAGCAGAGTGCCAGAGAGGAAAGGCACAGAGAAAGAATACAGAGATCTGCAGGTCTCTGGGTGAGTACTGTTAGCACTTTCATATAAAAAAAAAAACTGCCCAAGGGCAGAGGGGGGAAAACCCCCAAAAACCTCCCACCTGACATTATCAGAGAGGTCCCTGGAGCTCACAAAAGGACCTGAATAGTTTGTATTCCCACCAGCCAGAGTGGGAACATTTAAGTATATCACGGGACAAAAAGTAGGGCACTCAAGTGAGTTTTCATTTCAGTTGTACTTTTCAACTCCAGAATCAAATTTGAGTCCTTTTAAAAATGTCTGCCCCTTTTTTGCTCAGCCATCATGGCTCAGTGGTTGAGCTTTGACTTAAGAACTAGGATTTCTGTTCAGAGCATATGCCCGGGTTATGGCCGATCCCCCAGGTGGGGTGTGCAGGAGGCAGCCAATCAATGATTCTCATCATTGATGTTTCTATCTCCTCCCTCTCCCTTCCTCTCTGAAATCAATAAAAATATATATTAGAAAATTTCTAACTTTTTATTGATATCTTTATTTGGTTAGACATTGTTCTCATTCTTTTGTTCTGTAGACATGGTCTCCTTTAGCTCTGAATATATTTAAAATAATTTAAAGTATCAAGTAAGTACAACATCTGGGCTTAATGTTAGAGTTTTCAAAGTCCTTATGGATATTTCATTCTGAAGCTTTTCATTTTAAGCTTTTTTATTAGTCTGTTGTTTGTGTCATCATCTCAAACAGCTGTGGTGTTTAAAACCTAGCAGACAGTTCAAATAATGACATTTCTTTGGAAATAAGATCCTCTCTGCTCCCCCCAGGATTAGGAATGCAGGCTGTTATTTCTCAAGGCTACAGTAGAAGTGGGGAATAGGGGATAGACTAAGGTAAATTAAAATACCACAAAGCTCACTGCTCACCAAGATCCAGCTGTTTTTCTTAACTAAATGTTCCCTGGATTGCTGCAAGCATAGGGTTAATTTTGAGCTCTAAAGCTGATTCTGACCATTTGTTTTTTATTTTTTAATCCTCACCAATGGTCTGTTTTATTTATTTTTACTTTTTTATTTATTTCAGGGAGGGAGATAGAAACATTAATGATGAGATATAATTATTGACCTGCATCCTCCCCTCTGGGGATCAAGCCCACATCCCAGGCCTGACCAGGACTCAGACCGTGATCTCTTGGTTCATATGTCAATGCTCTACTACTGAGCCACATTAGCTTAGTGGGAGGGAGAAAGAAACTGAGGGAAGACATCAATCAGTTGCCTCTCTTACAAGCCTCATCCAAGGATTAAACCTGCAGCCTAGGTATGTGCCCTGACTGGGAATGGTACCTGAAAGCTTTCAAAGCTATAATTGAGTCATACAAGCCAGCACCTGACCATTTTTTTTTAACTTTAAAAAAGATACATATTTTATTGATTTTTTTACAGAGAGAAAGGGAGAGGGATAGGTAGAAACATCGACCAGCTGCCTCCTGCACACCCCATACTGGGGATGTGCCCACAACCAAAGTACATGCCCTTGATTGAAATCGAACCCTGGACCCTTCAGTCTACAGGCCCATGCTCTATCCACTGAGCCAAACCAATCAGGGCCACCTGACCATTTTTTTTGCCATGCTTTTTGTTTCTTATGAAGGGATAAGCTTTTGGAAGTCTTTGTGTTTTTTTGCTGAGATCTTTTGCTCTCATTTTTCATTAATTCATATTTTTTAAATACCTGCCATAGCCAGATACTGTTTTAAGTGAGCTGAGAAGATATAGCATGATCTCTGGGCTATTATGTCACATAATCACAGTAATAAAATAGTGGTTTGTGGTATAATGTAATAATACCTGCTATGAAGCATTTGTAGCCTACTTGTTCTTCCCCTTTTAAAAGGAGTCTTATTATTAACTAGAGGCCTGGTGTATGAAAATTGGAGAGGGGTCCCTCAGCCTGGCTTGTGCCCTCTAGTCTGGGAGTCCTCAGGGGATGACCTACTGACAGCTTAGGCCCGCAGAGGCGGGGAGTGGGCCTAAGCTGCAGTCTGGCCTCACTCTGTGGGAGGCTACCAGGCCAGCAGATCAAGGGACAGCACCACCACCATCACCTCACCACTGCCACCTGGCCTCCCTCTGTTGGGGGGTGACTGGATGGGCAATCAGGACAGTGCCATGCCCCCCCCCCATTGTTTCCTCCCTGTGCCTGCTGACACACACCTTGGCTGCCCTGGTGCCACCTGCTTGCAAGTCTCGCGTCCCACCCCCCCCCCCCCCCCAAACACACACTGTTTAGTTGATTCTGCTTAGTTGATTTGCATATTACCCTTTTAATATATAGGATATTTTTATTTGTTTTCATGTAGCTAAGAAAGTATTTTGTTTCCTTTGGAAATACTTGTTTCAAGTTCAACTATTCCTTTTATATCTAACAATTCCCCAAGCAACTGCTTCATTAAGTGTATTTTTAATTTCTTTATGAAAAATACTAAGTCAACAAGAGCAAACTTGTTTTGCTCTATTCTTTTGGGGGGGGTGCTATTTGTAATAATACTCATTTTTTTAAGATTACTATTTTTATAGTCATTTAACTAAAACCCAAAAACAACATCTTGGGTTAACACTGAAAAGTTTGGTCTATGTTGAATTTATAGAGTCAACCTACTTGTTCTTTTAAGCAGCCAGTGAAATTGTACCGAATGCTTCCTATTTGTTCGACATTGCTGAGATTCTAGGAGACCTTAGCTCCCCTCTCCCATCAACCCCTTACACTCTCCTTTTGCAGAAGAAAGTCTATACTTCACAGGAAGCACTTCTGTCTGTTCCACCACCTTTCCACTTCCTCACTTCATAATAGGGCCATTAAATTCTGAAAGGGTGGTTTGATAGGGATTAGCAAGTATCTCATAGAGGGAATTCTATGACTGAGGGCGAAGGGCTTGTCTTTCACAAAGAAGCCTTTTTTTTTCTTTTTTCTTTTGGAAGCATTATAGTTAAAAAGTAAGAGTAAAAACATAATGAAAATCTTGGTTAAGGAGGTTCATCGAGGCTTCTCAGTTACAT